AGCCAGTGAGCGGGAACCGGTCTGTATGTGGGATCCGAACCCTCGGCGGGAGCGCCGCCGTGCTTCCCAAGCGGCGCACTAGTGCAGTGCGCCACCGGGCCGGCCCCTTTATTCACAATTTCTAAGAACCTGAACAATCTAAATATTCTTCAAATGGTGAACAGACAAAAGAAAATATATCTATCCATGCAATGGAATCCTACTCAGCAATAAAAAGGAACAAACTACTCACATATTCAATAACACAAATGAATCTCAAATGCATTATGCTAAGTGAAAGTCAGAGTGAGAAGGCTATACACCGTATAACTCCATTTGTATGACATTCTAGAAAAGGCAAAACTAATGCGATGAAAAACAAATCAGGAGTTGCCATGGACTGCAGGTGGGGAGAACTGACAAAAAGAGGGCATGTGTGAATTCCAGGGGTGATGGAACTGCTCTATAACTTGATGTGGTGGTGGTCACGTGAGAGTCTTTTCATCAAAACTTGCAGAACTGTAAATTTTACTGAATATACATTATACCTTCTCACTGTATATAAATTAATACAAAGAAAAAAAGTATTAAGTACCTGTTATGTATCACGACTAGATACCAAAGACATAATATAATCCCTATCCTTAAGGATTTCAGGGATAAATAATAATTATAACCATTATCATTAACAATAATAGTAGCTAATACTTAAATAGGGTTTACTATATGGCACACATTATTCTAAGTATGTCACAAATATTTACTTATATTATGTGATCCTTATGACAACACTATGGGAGTAGGCAGTTACTTTTTTGTCATTTTGCAGGTTAAGAAATTAAGCTTAAAGAGATAAAATAACTGCTCATGGTCACACTGCAAGTAAGTACAAAGTCCTGATTCAAAGCCAGGAAGTTTGGCTCTTACTTCAGTACTTTGAAATTCTTGCCTCCATTTATTTAAATTAAGCTTAAAGAGATAAAATAACTGCTCATGGTCACACTGCAAGTAAGTACAAAGTCCAGATTCAAAGCCAGGAAGTTTGGCTCTTACTTCAGTACTTTGAAATTCTTGCCTCCATTTATTTAAAAAAAAAAAAAGTCATCCCAAATTATGTGGCAATTAGTGGCAAAGTTAAATTTTATAATCATCTTATAATTCTGTAAGCTTCCGGTTCTAGTCAGAATGGGGCTGTGTGATGGAGAGAGATTAAAAAAAAGGAAATAAAATGTTTCTGTTTTTGTTTTTTTTTAAGCAAGAAGTACGGTAGTGATAACACTTAGGATTTCTTTTCTGTTGAAGCTTCCTGTTTGTTTTTTAGTCTGAGGAAGAGCCTAAATTATCCAATTGCACCTCCCTGCTTGGGTTCCCCAAAGGATGTGAAATAACCTGACAGGGAGGCAACACCATACCCAAGGGAGAAGGAGGGAGGGAGAGAAAAGACATCTACTGAGATTTGGAGACAGGACAGCCACAGTTCTCCCCTTCCTACAATATGGCAAGCAGCAAGCTCTTTGTTTAAATGACCACTTTCTCTACAACACAAAAAACAAAACAAGACAAGCTACTTGAGAAACCTGTGCCGGCCAAACCAAAGGGTAAAAAAGCAAGGGAAATAAAGTGAGGGCTAGGGGAGGCCTGAGATTTCTGGGCTCTGTTCATGTTCTATTTCTTGATCTAGGTGGTGATCTGCAGGTGTGTTCACTTTAGGACAATTTGTACAGTTGTACACTTATCGTTTATGCACTTTTCTGTACTTATGTTAGACTTCAATATAACAAAATTTTTTAAAAAGGAATTGTGGAAGGGGGACTTATGCACAAATCTAATTGATTACTTGCTTTATTAATATAGGTGAGTAGATAACAAATTTTAATATCAAGAGATATTTAAAAACCAATCATAGATTTCACATCAGTGTTCTGGAATAAAAAAGCAGTTTCACATACCAGTGTTTGTAAGCAAGACACAAGGTCCTTTAATCTAAAAAGGGGTTATCTCCAGAAAGGAACTTTGAATGCCCTAAAGAATATACTAATTACCCCCTGCCCCAATACAGTGATATACAGTGCAAGGTACATCGAAAAAAAAGCAACAACTACAGCCCGGGCAAAAATGAGGCAGGCCTCCTCCTCACAGAGATGGGGGCTGCCTCTTCTCTGGACCACACAAGCCAAATCACACCTTAGGGAAAGAGATCTCTGTGTGATGCAGAGATCAATCCAGATGAGCTGATGCTGTTTTCCATACCAAAGAAAATCAGTCAGCATGGCAGCAACAAACCCCACCTTTTATTTTCCACAAAAGATATTCAGCTAGTCAGTGGTTCTCAATTTTGGACACACATCAGAATCTCCTGGGGAGATTTTAAAATATTCTAATTCATTTGGGTCTAGGTTAGGGAGTTTTTAAAGTTCCTCACCTGATTGACTCTAACGTGCACCAGGGCTGAATACTAATGTTAGCTATTCTGGATTTTCCTCCACTTTCTGTTCTTCCCCTACTCTCAATATTTTGTGTTCTTATACTTTAGGTAATTAACTTATGACTATCCTTATTTATAGGATTCTTTACTTTTCTAGTACTAATTATTAGCTCCACTTCACACAATGCAATCAAGCCTGAAAAGCTTGATTATAATTCTCAAGAAAATCAACATTTGTATCTAAGAGAGGGAAGACTGGTGAAAATAGGGAAGAGAAATTAAGATGGACAAATCCTGGTGGCAAGACAAATAGGTGACATTACAGGGAATGGACAAACTTCTACCAAGCTAATTTAGATTGTAAAAAGAGCTCTAGTCAAATAACGTAAGTGATCTTGAATATCGACAATCAAGGTTACCTCTCCTTTTTTTTAAAAAAAAAAAAAAAAAGACGACCGGTAAGGGGATCTTAACCCTTAGCTTGGTGTTGTCAGCACCACGCTCAGCCAGTGAGCGAACCGGCCATCCCTATATGGGATCCGAACCCGAGGCCTTGGTGTTATCAGCACCGCACTCTCCCGAGTGAGCCATAGGCTGGCCCAAAGTTACCTCTCCTTTAATACTATCCCTGTTTTGCTTGGTAAACAGGTTTCAGAGAAAGATAAAGAAGCTTTTCAAAGGAGCAGGGATGCATTTCAATACTTAGGCCTTCTCCAAACACTGAAGTCTTACACAGATATAACGTGTCAGTTACACTGTATCCTAGCAACGTCTTTCACAAAGGGAGAATATGTGATGCCAAGCAGGGAGGGCTTTAGCTATGTTAAAACATAAGTCATGAGGGAGCCTCATTTTGGGAAAACATACTCAAAGAAATTTTACATGAGAAAAGTGTGTATGATAGCACTGGGTTTCTTTCTAGACCACTGAGGAAGTGAAGCAAGAGGAGATAGCTCTTGCTCCAAAGTTTCATCCAACTTACTTGTTTTTCACCCCCGAAGCTTCAGTGTAACCATGACTCCATACAGCCGGGGCTCCGGATGCATCTCCTGCTGAAGGCTGATCAATCTTGAAACAGCGGATATTACTAACAGGAGAAACAAGGAGGGAACAGGAATCATTAAAACCAAATGTGCAAATTGCTACCTTTATCTGAGAATTAAAAAACACCTGCTAACCTCTATGTACTTTCCATTTCTTACTGCATTTCATGTGTCTCAAATATTTGTCAACAATAAGAACGAGCTACTCATCATAATGAAAACCAAGGGACATAGATACAGAGCATGGAAACTAGTTTCTGTGAGTATTACACAAAGCAGCTATTAGAGACTTTCACATACTACACACTAGATGGGGCTCTCTCCTGGGAATGAAAAAAGCAGCTCTCAGCCTTGGAATGAGAAAACAAAATTAAGTATTACGTTGGGTATATTCTTACACCATGAACATCCAGACTTGAGAAGAACTAAACCTAAGCGACAACTATACTGCTTAGGTGATGTGAGAGAATCCTGCGATATTCATCTCCAAATCCAATTTCTGCCCACACTACGCATTCAAATATTTAACAAATATTATCAAGGACTTGCCATTCCTTGGTGCTTCCAATTCTTTCCTCATTTGTATAGCCATCCATGCTAAGACTAATATAAAATAAAATGTACCACATACAATTACAAAGTAAATGAGGGGTATTTTAATAAATTACAACTGCATATATTTAAACTGGGAGACTTAAGGTATCATCTCACCTCAGCTCTCCTATGCCATAATTGGTCCAATAGCACCCGAAACAGAAATGCTAAAAGGGTAAACTCTCAAGTGGCGTTTCTTAAAAATCAGCCTATTAGAAAGCATTCAGTGCCCCCAAACAGGAAGTCATAACAGATGGGAAGAAGGTCTGTAAAAAGGGTGGCTCCACATGGTGAAACAAATCCTGCTTACTTATTGTAATCTGCCACTCAGTTTTCCTCCCTATTATTTAAACAAGAGAAAAAGTGTATGCATCATGTCTTAACAACTTAAACAACACCTAAATACTTTTGTCACGCCCCCCCAAGTTTTAAAATTATCTGTTGGTACTCACTGACTCCAAAATCTAACAAATACTAAATACCCTTCCTAAATATAAATAAATAAATACTCTTTTCAAAGTTTTCAATTCCATCAATAAAAGAGAAGTATTATAAAAGAAGGTGGTTCACCATTATTTGCTCTCTGTATGATCTGTTACTAAATTTTATCCATCTAAAATGGTAAGTAATGCAACAGGTTTCTTAAGGCATATCTTAAGGCTTTCACTACATCTTTGATACCTTCCTGAATTCTAGGAAACAGTGAAGGCTGTTTTCTAAAGACATTTATAATTTTTACAGAACATGGAGTTTTTAAAGAAATAATTCCATTTCCTAGCCTGATTATAAAAGGGAAAAATAATCCTTAATCCCTTCACCCCCAAACCCTTTCTAAGTGAAGCTGCAATCTCTCTTTCTCTGCCTAGATGAAACAGTGTATGGCTGGGCAGCTATCTGAATGTTGACTCTTGTCCATCTTTTAAATAACTCTCGGAGTCTGGGAGCTGGATCTCGATCCCATAGAAGAGTCCCCATATGCACTCATCCTGGCTCGTGTAGAAAAAGTAATATACAGACATTCAAAGTTCTGTGATGAATGTTCTTATAAAAACATCTTTTCTACTGAGGTTTTCTTGTTTTACACAGCAAACTTCAACCCATAATTATCAACATAAAAAATGAAACAGTATCAATGAACTTTTTCCCAAAACACAAAGTGAACTTTAGCAGGATCCAACTAGTCCACATTCCCAACTTCATTTAAATAATCTGCATTTTAGTTCCAAATTGTTAATTTTCTTTACATCATCTATTTCTCAAAATCCTTAATATTTGCATTAAGTGTTCCAATCATGTTATCAGTAACTACTGAGATTTAAGTTTACATCCTGGTTGTTCATTTCTCTCCCTGTGTCTTCTATATCCTGTTGTATGTGTAGATTCAGGTAATAAATCAACAGCTGCTTCATATTTTGCTCCATGTTTTTACTAAGTTATAAGTTTCATTGCCAGTGAACAATGATGGGGCTATGGCACTTTACAAAATACTTACTTTAGCAGTTCCAGGGTTTTGTGATCAAGGGCAAGGCGGGGGTTTCCAGTCAGATCTAGTTCTTGCAGTTTGGGAGGCAGGTTTTCTGGTAAAGTGACTTCGCTTAGCTCATTACAGCTCAGGTCCACGCACTAAAGGAACAAGTGGAAACAAGAAAGAGATGGTCTGGAGTTCTTCAGGCAGTTTTATACTTCTGTCCTTTGCAGGCAAGCAAATCAGTCTAGCCATTCACTATAATATACTTGTCAAATGCAGAAAAAGAAGCTGTCTGCTGCTCTGCCAGTAACATTTAAAACAGATTTTGCTAAATGCAGTAAAAGTTTTTACTTTCTTTGAATAACACAGAAAAATCCACGTTTTTTATCTCCATCTTTATCCATTCAAGTTCACCTCTACATTAAAAATTAAGCCTTAATTTAAATAAATCTAAAGACAGGAGTTTTTCTTATTGCTCACAAAATCTCTGTGCCTATTTCGGCCATGAGAGCTATAGTTTGGACATTAAAATGAACTTTGAAGGGCTTTCTTAAAACCAAACAACAAACAAAAAAACATGCAAAATGAGAAAAAGGCAGGGAACACATACTCGAAATAAGAAAATATTTCAAAAGACGCTAAATAAGAAATAGGCAAAAGATAGACCAGCAGATTGGTCTGCCTACTGTACGCAAGGAATAGAAGGGCTAGATCCTGCCCTCAAGGCACCCAACACCTAGACTCTCCAGCAGGCCCTGCCTAACCTTACTTGGAAAACAACCACAAAAAGGTTCACCATGCTGATTAGAACAAAAATTACGTGTTATCTGTAAATGGGAATAATACCTCCTCTCTCACAAAAACCAATGCAAGGCTTAAATGAGGTAAACTCAAAAAAGACATGCTGCCCTTCTGTTCTGGGAGATGGAAACCTGGGTAGAGAAAGCTCACAATGCACAGGAGAAAACAAGAGTGACTGGCAAGTGTTCTGGATACAAGAATGTGGAACCCACAATTTGATAGAATAGGGTGGAAAGGATCTGGCTTGCGTTAGAACCTTATTATGATCTTTAAAAAATGCTTTAAAAGCCTACTAAAAATCTCAAGATAGTTTGAAAGGGGAATTGTATCTGAGAAATTCAGTGTCTTAAAAGTGGACAAAAACTCCCTTTTAATTTGGAAAAAAAAATTTTTTAATTAAATCTATTATGGATTGGGGAGGGGTAGAGATTGGGTAAAATGAAAACCTGTATTTTGGGAGAAATATATTCTTTTTTTGTCGTTGTTGTTGTCTTTTTTGTGACCGGTAAGGGGATTGCAACCCTTGGCTTGGTGTCGCCTGCACCACACTCAGCCAGTGAGTGCACCGGCCATCCCTATATAGGATCCGAACCCGCGGCGGGAGTGCCGCTGCGCTCCCAGCGCCGCACTCTCCCGAGTGAGCCACGGGGTCAGCCCTGGAAGAAATATATTCTTGACAGACCACAAACAATACAATACTTCCACATAAAATGTTTCATAGCGTTGCTCCCAAATAGCAATGATATATAATTATATTACCATTTTATTTATTTTATTTTATTTTTTTGAAAGATAACCAGTAAGGGGATCTTAACCCTTGATTTGGTGTTGTCAGCACCACACTCACCCATTGAGGTAACCAGCCATCCCTATATGGGATCCAAACCCATGGCCTTGGTGTTATCAACACCACACTCTCCTGAGTGAGCCACGAGCTGGCCCTATATTACCATTTTAAATAATTACATTTTATTATGAAAGTGTCATAACCACATAACAAAAAGCTGGGCAAACAGAACAGCTAAGAAAACTTAGCCTTAAATCTACCACCCCAACCCAACCAGTTTTTAACATTCTAGGATTTTTTTCCTTACGGCCTTATCATTGATATTTTAAAAAAATCTTTAAAAATCGTAAATGTAGGTGAGATTTCATTATATTCCAAACATTTTTTTATCACTCTATTGCAGCCATTTTCTGTATCTTCATTCCCATATGCTATGGTCTGAATGTGTCTCCCTAAAATTCAGACGTTAGAACTTAATCCCCCATGTGATGGCATTAAACGGTGGGGCTTTGGGGACGTAATTAGATGAGGGCTCTGTCCTCATAACTGTGATTAGTCCCCTTGTAAAAGAAGCCTTGGGGAATTGCTCACCTCTTCCACCATGTGAGGACACGTGGAAGGTGCCATCCATGAGGAAAAAGCTCTCCCCAGACTGAATCTGCTGCAGCCTTGATCTCGGACTTCCCAGCCTCTAAAACTGTGAGCAATAAATTTCTGCTGTTTTTAAGTTACCCAGTTTAAGGTATTTTGTTATAGCAGCTTGAATGGCCTAAGGTATCATCTACAATAGCCCCATAATACTTCTGGTGGATGCACATAAATTCACTTAACCTGAACATTAATAATAGGGAAATGGCCACCCACTTTTTGTTTTTTCATAAATAACGGTTACATGAATAGTCAACCGGACTTTTACGAAAAACTCTGATAACACTGGTTACTAATGGGCTATGGGGCCAGAGCAATCAGCACCCAGCAGCACAGGAAGACAACGAACAGGGGCAAATACAATCTACTGGGCAGTGATGAAATGTGAGTTAAAGGACTAACAAGTGTGGGTAATTTAGGATGTAAGTGGTTAACAGAAACAAATTCAGGGGTCAGAGAATACCTTTGGTGAAAGATTAAAGGCATTTTAGAGCAATACTGAATTTTTAAAAAATTGGTAGAAAACTTTAAAAAATGTTATCTAAAGATTTAAACTTTCAAGAGTTCCAGAGATGTAAAATTCTCTAAATTACCAAATTATAAAATGAGTTCAGTAGGAAATAGTTAATGAAGATAATGCTGACAGTTGTAATGCAGATCTCAGGGATAATGCTTCTGCCACCACGTCCCCCAAGCCCCACCCAGGCCCATCTGCTCATCAAGGCTTCTTTGGCTCAGTATTTCGTTCACTGCAGCCAGTTCTCTTGCATTCAGTCCCATTACCCTGGTTCTGACTCATACCACACTTTCCATGGAGGGCTATGGCTGCATTGTAACTTTGCTTTCAGTCTTGCTTCCCTCTGATCCACTCCTCATGGTGCTGTCAGAATGATTTCTCTAACGTGGTTTATTCCAGCTGATCACACTCCAGCTTCAATCTTTCATTTGCTCCCAACTGCCCTTCAACCTGCCCACCAAACTCCTCAGTATGTGAAGTACGGCCCTTCACTCCATTCTTCGCCACTTGCTTCTTCATGCTCTATGTTTCAGCCATTTCAGAAGAATCACAGTTCCTGCATATGTCATGTTCTCCTTTGCCTGTGCCTTTGCACGTCCTACCCTCTGGGCCTGGAACCCTTTTCTTCAAGTTTTACTTGCCTTTTTACCTGATAAAATCTGCCTTATTTCCTTTTCAGGCTCTACCCGATGCCAGCTCTACTACAATCTCTGTTTCCATTAAATGCCCCTTGTTATAATTATCTGGTTATTTATTTCTTCCACTAGACTATGACCTAGAGAACAGTGCATTGAAAAGAGATGCTCAACAAGTGCTTTCATTAAAAGGATAAACTAACGAACAACAGATTGCCTGGCATGTGGTAGACAATTATTTGTTGAATGGGTAAATGAACAAATGAATGGATCTTGTAAGGTCCTTCAGTAATTAAATCTACCAGGATGAGAACTGAGATAGAAATGCTTAGGTTAAGTTCAGCCTAGAGTAAATAGTATTGCAAGGCATTTGGATACATTTAAAACGTCATTGTTTATTTCTGCCTGAGAGAGTGCAACTACTTTCTTTAATGGCGGGTAAGCAGAGAAACACCCTTTTATACTTCGGCACGATGAAGAAGGTTTGTTCATAACAAAATTAGAGGAGGTTGGTATCTAGCACTGCCCTCCTGGTGCAAATATAGTGAGTGACACACAAGTGACATTTCATATTCTTTTAACAGTCCTCAAGACTGGTTCATTGTTAAGGTACTCAACAAACATTTGCTGACTGAATAATTATAAAGGTTACCACTAAAAAAACAAAATATTTGGGTCAGATTGGAAAAAAAAAATAGTACCAAAACATTCTCTCTATATTGTTAAGGTAGGTACCTCTACGTTTAATGCACTACGATTTTCTTAAAAATATGTTGTTAAATAGGATGTTAAATCTGACTAAAACATGACCAACAGAAAGTTACCTTTCCCTCTTTCGGGCCCATTCTAGGACCTAGCTAACAATAATTACTTTGCTATAATCAAAATTCTGGCAAGAACACCCAAAACAGAATTATCCAACCCTCAGAAAAAGTTAGGATAGCTCATAGTTGAGAAGGAACTCACAATTCAGAGAAAAATTATCATGAATACATCTAGATAAGAGCATATAAAAATAATCCGTGTGTCTTAAAGAAAAAGGAATACAATCTGATGTATAGTTTAAGTGTAGTTATCACAAAAGCTCCAGGGACTATATCATTATGTTTTCCTCAGAAAACATTACTGAATAGACGTATCAATTTTCAGAGAAGTATATTATATATCATCTGTCCAATACTTGCCTGTACTGCCTTGAAATAGCAACTTAACCTACTAGCTCCTCGAGATTCTGCAAAACCTTGCTTGCTACCTTCCTTCAGACTACTCCTAGTCTACCGCCTCAACTGTGCTCCCCAACAGCACTGACTTTCCAAAAATGAGGCTCCCGACCACATTCTGCAGGTCCTTGCCCTCACAAGATAAAAGCTGCTGATGTATGATGTTTTGTAACAGGGTGGCAATTTCATTTTGAATTGATGAAAAGCAAATAATTCCCTTTACCCTTGGAGATCTGAAGAGCATGATGGTGGCCACCTCAAAGCCTACTTCTTTTGAGGACTCATGGTGACAGGAGCATCTCTACAGACATACCTTTTAATATGCACAAACTCACAGAGGACCAGTCATTTATCTGTATACAGTAGTCCTCCCCCCCCCCACCTTATCCACAGGGGGATAGGCTCCAAGACCCCCAGTGGATTCCTGAAACTGTGGATAGTACTGAACCCAGCTACTGTCTATCAGAACACCTTTCTGTTCATGTCTTCACCCACAATTTTCTTTTAATGTTTACCTGTACATATTTGTGGGTACAGTGTGTTGTTT